GAACCCGGGCCGCCAGCATCGGAGCGCGCGCACTTAACCACCAAGCCACGGGGCCGGCCCGAGAATTTACATTTCTAACAGGCTCTGATGACAAGTGTCTGGGACCTCACTCTGAGTCCACTGCTGTGGATTACCTTGAACTAAGTACACATACTTCCACATCCACTCAAAGCTCTTTGTGGGCAGAAAATGTGTTTTCTGTCTCTTTGTGGATCAGCCCCTCTAAAACCCAGCAATTAATTGCCTGGCATGTAGAAAGTGCTCCCCAAGTTTCACTTTTACTCGTTGAGAGCACTCTGCCCTTCATGTTCTCACTTGGTGCTTACAAAAGCCCCACCAGGTAGGGAGAAAGGGCATCCTTCTTGCAGACTGCTGGGGAGAGAATCAAAGTCACTCCGGAGCAGGGACTGGCTGGCGTTGGCTTGGGTCGGAGCCGTAGGGAGTCCACCGAGTTGCTCTAATCGTGGTCTCCCTGGCACTGGCTCTTTGGGCTGGTGTTGGACTTTGAGCCCGCTTTCCCCTTCTCCTTGGAAGGAGTGGGAATGAACTGACATTTATTAGGCAATTACTGTCTGTCAATTTTTGGGCTGGGGGACGTATCCAGCATCCCAGGCACTATCTCAGGGGTCCAGGGAAGTACAGTTACTGGGCCCCACATGTGGTCTACACATGTAAAACACGGAAGCACAGAACACCCAAGTTTTTATGCTTCATTGCATAGCACAGAGGAGGCAGAAGTGGCCAGACAAGTTAGGAAGACGTGACTTCCTCTTTATTGGAGGTCAATCACTCATTCAGGTACATTGTTCTAGGTGCTTTCACCTATATACTCTCATTTAAGCCTCACAATTACCTTGCAAGGGAGATCTCATTTCACCCATTTTAAAGACAAGGCAATAGCCTCAGACAGGTTATATAATTTGCCCAAGGCCACACAGCTGGGGAAAGGAAAAGCTGTGGGTTGTAGAGCTGGAATTCCCGGTCTCTCTGACCACAAAGCCCTTGTTGGTTTCACAGCCCCATCTGTGTCCACGTCACAGGGTCTGTGCACAGTTTGCATGGCACATCAGTAGCAGAAATGAGAGTAGGTCCCAGGTCTTCACATCCCTGTGCTCCCTGACAATACCTGGCTGCTAGGGCCCTGGATTCAGGCTCTATCCTCACACTGATTCGAGACTGTTTCTGAGGAAGTTATGGTGCACAGGAAAGAGGGGGGTTCAGTGGGTGACATCAGGGCCTTGGATCAGCAGGGAGGTAGGCCTGAGTGGCATGGACCTAGGAAGGCCTGCTCCTGTCAGGTAATTGGGTGGTAGAGGTCTGTGTTTCTCTCAGACCCAGTGTAAGAGCTGTCAGGCAAGTCCAGGGAACTGTGGCTATTCCCTCTACACACAGACACACTTCCACCTTCACAGACCCTCCAAGGACAGGCCTCCCGGACACAGATCCGGGGGAGGGGGGTGGCTCACAGAGTCTGAGCTCACAGGCTCAGATTCAAGGTGACACACACCAGCACAGACAGAACCATCCTGCCACCCGTGCCAGACTCACCCACAGAGAAGGCAAACACACGCAGAGGTCAGCCTCGGCACCCCACAGAAGGCTACTCATGCCCACACTCCCACCCACTCACAGGGGCACAGAGGGTGCAACTCCTCCTACAAGGTAGCCTGGAGGACTGTCAGGAAGGATGGGGGAAGCTGGCAATGATTTCTCCATCGCTGCCATGCCCCCATCCCCCCGACCCCAGCACCTATCAGCTCATGGAAGGAGTCTTATTCTTAGAAGGGGTTCTGGTTCCTTTGCTAGAATTTGTCCTTTCCCCAGGCTCAGTTCAATCTCCTCTGGCCTGTGCTCAGGAGGCATGGGGTGGGGGAGGGGCTTGAAAGCAGAAGGCAAAGGGCGAGGAGGAGGTGGGAGAAGGAGGAGGGAGGGGCTCGGGGAAGGCAAGAGCCTGCCCAGGGCTTCTGGGCTAGAGAGGAGGTCAGGAGGAGCTCAGAAACCTCGCTTTGCTATCCCTCTGACAGCCTAGACAGTGGGAGAGAGGGGCTCACCCAACTCTGCCAGCGTTCCCGGTCCACAGGTGCTGGGAACTATGGTCAGAATCCCAGATTCCTGGAACACCAGAGGAGGGGAGACCAAGATCCAGAGTGGTGGGGTTGGGAGACCCAGACTCGGCCAGGGCTGACACCTGTTCATAGCACCCCTGTGGCCGAGACCATTCCCCAGGTCAGGCTCCCCCAACTGAAGTGTTTCTCTTGCCCCAAATCCTTACTGAGAGGGTATGTGTGTAAGATTGCAAGTAAGGGGAGGGCAGTCATACAGGGGGCACTGGGGAGCCTGTGAGGGGAAGGGAGGTGGAGAAGGGGAGCTTTGGGGATGACTTCTGCCAATGTGGTCCCAGAGGAAAGGTTTGAAAGAGGGTCCCCCCTGCCTGCACCGTCCAGCCCACGTTAGCAGGGGCCAGCATGCTGCATCCCCAGCCTGTCTCCCCTCTGATCCTGCAGGAAGGAGGGGAGGGCTGGCCTGGTGACCTTACCGTCTGTGGGGGGCTGCCCACGGTCATCTCCACGTAGTAGCCCTGACCGGACTTGCCCCTCAGGTTGTCCACCATCTCCACAAAGCTGCCCCTCCGGCCGGGCTCCTCCGGCTCCTCGTCAGTCTCCCGGGGCAGCCGCAGCCCCAGGGGGGCGCCTCCCAGCCCACTTCGCAGGGGCAGCCGGATACCAGGCTGGGTACAGTGGGCAGGCAGCACTCCCGCGCCCATCCACAGCAGGAGCCAGGGCAGCACTTGGGCCATGGTGGGCCCTGGCCGTCGGGCCCTCTGGGCTCACTCTGGCCCGCGTGTCCCTGTTGCCTGCCCCCAGCTCTGGGTGCCGGTAGTGGCTTCTTAGGAGCGTGAGCTGTGAGACATCAGGGCTCCGGAGGCTGCAGGCCCCTCAGCCAGCCCGCCGTCCAGGCTGTGGGTATCGGGCAGGAGAAATTCGCAGGGAGAGAGAAGGGGAGGAGACGGATCCGAAGCCCGGCTACATCTGGCCGCCGGCAGCCAGCCTCAGCAGAGGTCTGGGAGAGGACGGCTCCGGCCCCCCGGGGGGCTGGGAGGGGCGGGCATGGCCCGTCGAGGCTGGTTTCCTGGTCCTCCTGGTGGGTCGGCAGCGGGGGAAGGGGCAGGGGCTCTGGGCTCCTGCGGCTGCGTTTGCTGGTCAGGCCACCATAATCCAGCTCCCAGCTCCCAGGCAGGCTGGGGAGGCGGAAAGACTTGTGGCGGCGGCTGTCAAAGCCAAAGGGTTTTCGCTTTTCCCTGGGATCGCTGGGAAGTGTAGTCTTCCCATGGCAGGCAGCCCAGCTTCCGGGCTTGGTGAGGGGTCTGGGATGCCCTCTGCCGAGATGGAGTCCACCCTGCAGGACCCTAGCGGGAAAGGTTTCCTTGGCCCTGGCTGGGCAGGAAGGGCCATCAAGATAGAGAGGCGGCAGACTTCTCTCATTCTGTCAGTCTTTCATTCTGCATTTATTGAGCACCCACGGTATGCCAGGCACTCTGCCAGGTACTGGGGCTACAGAGAGAAATACAATGCACATGTACCACACAAAATGATGTGGCATTAAGGAGTAGGGATTTGGGGGACATCTAGGGGATCTGGGAAGACTCAGTGGGAGGAGGTGGCTTTTAATTTGAGCCTTAAAGAGTGAGTGGGATTTCCATGAGTAGAGATTGGGGGAGCAAAACTAAGGGGGATAGAAGGGTATTCTAAGGAGCCAACTGCATAAGCAAGGTCCAAAGGGGAAGAGTGCGGCGCAGTCTGTCTTCCTGGAGCCTGCAATCTGTGGGCAGGTGAGAGCCAGCTGGGACTGCGCTCATCTGAATCTTTTTGTGCCTTTGATGCTCCACCTGCCCTCACCTCCAACCCAGATGCTGGAAATCCTCAAGACCCTCCTGATTTCTGTGCTGTTAGTCGGAATAAGGGTAAATGGCTAATATCAGATTTAAAGTGTTAACTCCCCAGTTTGGTGGTTACCAGAGGGAAGGGGGTTAGGGAGTGGGCAGAAGGGGTGAAGGGACGCATTTATATGGTGACTGACAAACAACAGCCTACAACTAAAAGTTCACAATGTGGGGTGGGCCCGCTGGTGCAGCAGTTAAGTGTGCGCACTCTGCTGCGGCGGCCCGGGGTTCGCGGGTTCGGATCCCAGGCGCGCACCAACTCACGGCTTGTGAAGCCATGCTGTGGCGGCATCTTATATAAAGTAGAGGAAGATGGGCGTGGATGTTAGCCCAGGGCTGGTCTTCCTCGGCAAAAGGAGGGGGATTGGCATCAGATGTTAGCTCAGGGCTGATCTTCCTTGCAAAAAAAAAAAAAAAACTTCACAATGTTATAAACTGTTAGGACATCAATAAAAAAAAAAATAAAGTGTTAACTCTCCAAGAAGTATCTGTATATTGTTAAGAGCTTAAAGCAAAAAGCTTTAGAGCTCTAATAGCTTAAAGGAAAAAAGCCATATGATTATATCAACATATTATTTATTAAATGTGGAAAGCTTTGTTAAATTCAGTAGTTGTCTGGTAAAAACTAAGGAGAAACTTCTTAAACAAGATAACAGAAATCCTAGAAAACCTAATAGTAACAGGCTAAAGTTATTTCCATTAAAGTCAGGCTTAGGAAAGGGAAGGTCATTATCACCACTCTTATCCCATATAGCTAACTCAAAAAGATGACAAAATGGAACAAGTGTTATAAATATTAGAAAGCAAAAGGATCAATATTTGCAGATGATATGATGTGGGTAGAAAATCCTACCCAACAGGTAATTAGACAAGTTTAAAATAAAAATCAATAGATCAATGTCTGTATGGGAATTTTGTATATGATAAAGATGGCATTCATATCAAAGGGAAATAGATACATTATTCAATAATTGTTGGGACAACTGGCTATCCATTTGGAAGGAAAAAAAATGAAATCCCTATCTCATCTAAAAATAAGCTCCAGATAGATCAAAGAACTTAACATGAAAAGTAAAACTGCAGAAAAAAATAGAAGAATATTTTAATAATCTTATGTTGAAGAAGATCTCTAACAAAACTCAGAAAATTTTCTCTTTTTTTTTTTGGTGAGGAAGATCAACCCTGAGCTAACATCCAATGCCAATCCTACCTCTTTTTTTGCTGAGGAAGACTGGCCCTGAGCTAACATCCGTGCCCATCTTCCTCTACTTTATATGGGACGCTGCCACAGCATGGCTTGACGAGCGGTGTGTTGGTGTGTGCCAGGGATCCGAACCTGCAAACCCTGGGCGACCGAAGTGGAGGTTGCACACTTAATAGCTTGCACCACCGGGCCAGCCCCCAGAAGATATTTTTAAAAACAGTGGATAGACTTGACTACTTAAATTTTAAAAATGTCTGTAGAATTGGACATCCAGGATTCCAATTCTGGTTCTGCCACTTAGAGACGGGGAAACTCCAGGCTAGTTACTCATCCTCTCTGTGTCTCAGTTTTCTCATTTGTAAAACGGGGATAACCTTGTACTGTAAGAATTAAATGAAATAATCCATATAATGTGCTGAGAATGGTGTCTGGTACACTGTAAATGCTCAATAAAGGTTGACTATTAGTCTTATTATCACTACAACTACTGAGAAAAATGACATTTACGAAGTTAAAGATAAGTCACAGACTAGGAGACAACATTTGTCACTCAATAGAGAGACAAAGGGTTAATGTCTATAATATACAAAGAGCTTCCACAAGTCAATAAAACCTCCAAACAACCTGGTAGAAAAATGAACAAGAGTGTGAAATTAATCAGGTAATTAATAGAAGAAATTCAAATGACCAGTAAACGTGTGAAAAAAAGCTCAGCTTCATTAATAATGAAAGAATGCAATATTTAGAGACCATCATCATTATTTTTTTTGCCTCTCACATTGGTAATATTTGGTGTTGATGAAGGCATTGGTTGCACTGTAAATTATTCCACTTTTAGAGAGAAATTTGGCAATGCTATTGAAATGTAAAAAATGTAAATTCTTTGAGCAGTGTCACTCCTAGGATCCTATCCAACAAATATAACAGTATTTCAGCATTGTATACAGTATCAAAACTTTAGAAACAAAACAAATGATTATCAATAGGGGAAGGAGACATTCATTCAATGGAATCTTAGGTAACCAATATAAAGAATGGAGTAACATAGCCGGCCCCGTGGCTTAGCAGTTAAGTGCGTGCGCTCCGCTACTGGCGGCCCAGGGTTTGGATCCCCGGCACGCACTGACGCACCGCTTCTCCGGCCACGCTGAGGCCGTGTCCCACATACAGCAACTAGAAGGATGTGCGGCTATGACATACAACTATCTACTGGGGCTTTGGGGGGAAAATAAATAAAATTATAAAAAAAAAAGAATGGAGTAACATCTTATGAACTCACCTTGGAAGATGTTTATGACATGTTAAGTGAAAAAAAGCACATTGTAGAACAATGTGTACATTATAATCTCATTTCTGTAAAATTTAAAAGTACGCATATGTGCATATACATATATGCATATAAATTTACATCTGCATAAGCATTAAAAAGTCTGGGAGATAGGAACCAAAATGTCAACAGTGGTTTCCTCTGAAATGTGGGATTCCTTCCTTCCTTCAGTTTGCCCATTCATTCATTCAGCAAATGTGTATTGAGCGCCCACTACATGCTAAGCACTGTTTTCGGCACTGTGGATACATCAATAAATAAAATGGACAAAATTCCTGTCCTCATGCAGCTTATATTCTAATGCAGGGAGACAGACAATAAGGAAATAAAGTAACAGTATTTCAGAGGGTGCTATGTGCTATGGGGAAAAACAAAGCAGAGAAGTTAGGTGGAAGGACAGTTTGCAATTTTAAATAAGATGAATTGAAAGAGTAGAGGGAACATTTTGCATCTTTATATACTTTTTTAAAAAAATGGTAGGATTAATGAGTGTTTTTCTTTCTTACTATGTGGGTTTTCTCTATATTACAAGTAAACAGTATGAAAAGGGAAAAAAAAAAAGTTCTAAAAGTGGAATTTATGACCTGGGGGTAGGGCATAAAATTTGGGACTGATTTGGTTTTTTCCGCCCGTTTCTTTGAAAAATCACCCCTGTATGTTCATCCTTGACTGCAGAAGATAAGCTACAATGTGTGAAATTCTCGGTCTCTCTTCTCATTCATTGGGCATATTACTGGCATATCAATTGGTGTATCATTTTTGTCATTTCCCCCCAAAGATTTGCTTTCTTAATTATATTTGCCTAAGGGCATTTTGTAAATTGGTTTGTGTGTCTGAGAACAAACCTATAGGGGAATCTGATAAAATGAAAATTGTTTATCTATGTGGGGTAATCCCATCAAGCCCATAGTGACCCTTATTTATTAGCTCTCCCCATGAGACAGCAAGGGACCCATGTGAAGGAACAAAAGTTAAGAATTTTAATGGCAGCTAAAGTCAACTAGATTGATTGCAAGCTCTTGGATATAGGAATCAACTCTACAAATGGTTTTTGAATCCTTGCTTTGTGCAAGGTCTGTGGTGGATGAACTGGTGAGCCCTTCGAATCCCTTTGAGTCTGGTCCCTTTGTCCCTTCAGTGAGACTTTTAAGGAGTGTGGAGAGGAAGGGGCAGCCATGATTTGTCATCTGCAGGCAGAACAAAGGAAGTACAGGCAGAACTGCCACAGAAAAGATTTGAAGTTAAACATGAGGAATACATTCTCCACATCTGGTTTGGGGTCTACAGGAACAACACTTTGAGTTCCTCATTCTGGGCTCAGGCCCTGAGTGGTGCTGGGACTAGCTTTGGGAGTTGGTACAAGCCACATAACGTCTCCACAATGCAACCTATAGGGAGCTGCTCCAGGTGCTCTGTTCTCCTCTTCCACTAGCAATGTTTCTTAACCTTTCTGTTCCCCAGTTTTCCCACTGATGTAGTGGCCAGAGGTGTTTTTGCCCCTCTTAACTTCTCTAGGAGGTTGAGGACATATGAGAGAAAGGAAGATTTGCCCTCTGCACAAATAAAACTAAAGCTCTTTGGAGTTACATTAGTAGCAACCCTTCTGCCAGAAAGGGTGTGTGGAGGGGCTACATATTGTTTCACTTTTTTTCTTCTTAGACAGACTCTTTGAAATAGTTTTGACAAATAGTATTAACTCCATCTCGCAGACATGCAAACTGAGTTGAGTCCTGTGCTCTGGTGAAAAGATAGACAGTAGAAATTAGGTCTTTTAACTCTTGGTCAGGTGCTCATTGATTTAATCAGAGCACAGAGGAGCCAGTTTTTAATTTTTTATTACTTATTTACCTTACAGTCACATTTGTTTTTTTATTAAATGCTCAATGGGTTGATTATTGATGATCAGTGTATTCAGCTGATATTAATCACAATACTAAAAAATGATGACCAATAAATGGCCTTCGTTAATTGACGTTACTGTAAATACTATGAATGGGCCTTTCTTGTCCGGGAAGAAATTCCCCTCATCTAAATTCAGAGCTCCCTTTTAACCCCTTGTGGACCCCCATCAACTATCTTGGACTACATCTCCCATAGTGCAACGGGAAACGAGCAGACCTCCTCCGTGATCGGACAGGAGCCCTAGCCAATCCAGTGCCAGAGCTCTCATTCGGCGCCCTATTGACTCAGGGTAGAGGCGGGACTCTCAGTTGCTAGGTTGGTACCCTTTCCGGAAGTGGTTGTTGGCCGCTGCAGGGCAACACCCCGGCGTCCCTGGAAGCTGGGAGCCGGGGTGGTGCCTGGGAAGCTGCGCAGAGTCGGGAGCAATCGCCCAGAGCCTCCTGGGGTGGGGGACAGGTGAGGACCTCCTCGAGGGAGGGGTCGGGTGGCGGGGGAAAGGAGGGAAGTGGGAGAGTTGAGGCACACTAGTGTGCCAACGAGCGGGATGTGCACGAGTGTGGGCGGGAACTGAAGGTCTCTTAAGAAGTGAAGAAGGAGCGGCCGGACTGGTGCATCTGTCCAGAATCTCTCTGAGAGGCGGAAGGGCCTTGGGCTGGGGGACTGGCGGGGGAGTGAGAGCGGGCACTGGACGACGTGTGTGAGCTTGCTAGGGGCTCGTTTACTGGTCCTGTTCGTGGAAGTGTGTAGGGCCCGGCCTTGGGAACCTTGTTTCGGTACCTCTCTTGTGGGGAAGCTTCCCCCCGTGTCCCAGTCTGGGGCTAGTCCGACCTTATGCCGGCTTCTGGTGAGCTGGGGAAGCTAGAAAGTTTTTTGCTTTTGTTTTTTCCTTTCCTTGCTTTGATTAAAAAAAATCTATTTTCTCCACCTGCAACCGCTCTCCCCGCTTGGCTTCCACGACTCCTCTCTCCTGGTTCTAATTCAGCCCTCCGCAGCCGCCTTTGCAGGCCGCTCCTTTCTGCTCATCACACGCCGTGTCTGGGTGATTTCACCCCGAGTTTCAGTTACCATGTATTTAGCGGTGACCCCAAATTGCGGCTGTAGCCAGACCTCTTTCCTGAGCTCGGGCCTGCTTACTGATCATCCCTGGCTGCATGCCTCCCCACCCTTTCTGGTCCCTCAGATCTGTCCCTCCTCTTGTAGTTCCTGTCTCAGTGAAGGACTTCACCATTCACTCAGTCGGAATGAAGGGAATTCATTCATCTCATATAGGCAGCAAACATTTGTTGGGCATGTCCTGTATTCTAGGCAGTATGCTGCGGGGGGCTATCAGCAAGGCACAGAAGTGAACAGATAGTCATGGCATACTGGCTTAGTGCCCTGATTTCCCTCCTCCCTCTTCCTCACTTGCTGCAGACGTCAAGTCCTGTCATTCTGCCTCCTAATAGCCCTAGAATCTGGCCCTTCCTTTCCATTCTCACAGCCACTGACTTAGTTCGTAATTTCTTGCCTTTGCTTTCAGGATAATTTCCTAAGTGGCCCCTCAGCCTCTGTTCTTGCCCTCCTCTAATTAGTTCTTACTAATTAACAGCTGTCAGAATCATCTTTCTAAACTGTAGATCTGATCGTGCCAGTCTCCTTTGTGCAGTCCTGTGATGGCTCCTCATCATGTGCAGGATATAGCCTCGGTCCTTCCTAGCCCTTTATAATGTGCCCTTTGCCTTCCATTGCAGATCTCTCTCCTGCTACCCCTCCCATCTTCTTTTGCGCTCTGGTCTTGTCAGAGGTCAGAGCTCAGGCTTTGGACTCAGATAGATGTGAGTGCGTGCATGTTCTTGTTGAGCCATTTACTAGCAGTGAAACCTCGGGCAAGTTGTTGTTTTTAACCTTGCTGAGCCTCAGTTTCCTTCTTGGAAAAATGGGGACAGTAATCTCTGCCTCACTGAGAGGTTTCATCTGATCTGTTGGTGAGCACTACATGGAGTATAAAGTTGATGGTTCTGAAGCCATGTCTAGGGTGCCATGATAGACTAGTGATGTCCCTCACAGTCTCAGGCTTGGAAGGAAATGTTAGAACATGTGCCATGTACTTGCTATAGCAGATCTCAGGGCTGCTTTCTTAGCATCTCATCTTCCCCTCTGTAACCACTCCAGCCAGGTTATCATCATCTCACTTAGACTAGCTCATGGTTTCCTACCTAATCTCTCTGCAGCCACTCTGATTTTCTTCCTTCCAATCTGGCCTCCGTTCCCATCTGTATTTCCAATGACTGCCAGAGCAATCTTTTCAAAATGTGTATCTGGAGAAACCCTTTCCTAGCTTCCAGCTCTTATGACTAAGGCCAAGTTCTTGGCATGATCCTGGCTCCCACTCACTTCTCCAGTGTCATCGCCAACTATGCTTCTTCTTCCTTGGTGTTCTTCCTGTTGAAGGGCCTTTGCACGTGCTGCTGCCTCTGTTAGAACACTTTTTCCTCCTCTCTTTGACTAGTGAATACCTACTCGTCGTTCAGTTCTCAGCATAGGCTTCATCTAAACTGGGCTCATTTCCTTCAGAGCTCTTACCTCATTTATAATTACACATTTGTCTGTGAGTGGTTGGTTGGTCTGTCTCCCTCCCTCAGTAGAGTGTAGCTCCAGGGGAGGAGCAGCTGAATCTGTTTTTAATCACCATTGCGTCTCTAGTGGCCAGCAATAAACTTAGTAGCTGCTCAATAAATAAACTTAGTAGGTGCTCAATAAATATTTCTTGAATGAGTAAATGATCTCTAGTAGCCATTAAACAAATAGGATTTCTCTTCCCACCTTCCTCATTCCTACAATTCCTGCCCTTTTGGCCCTGTTCTTGCCCACATCTTTCCTGAAGCCAGGCAAGGCAAGGAGAAGGTATAATACGGCCCACCCATATATATATTTTTTTCTGGCAGAAGATTTGTTTGATATTTGAGTGATGCATGATTTCAGATTTTCCAGGTTCTTCTTAAATATGGGTAATTATGTATGTAGCTAATTAGGCATTTTGCCGTAAGGATGAGATTTTACAAACTACCCCATGCCTTGTGGAGATGGGATGTGTCCAGGGATAAGAATGCAGAATTTCTCAAATGCAGAATTTCTCATTCTCTGAGAGAGTTGATGCAATGCCTTATATAGATCACTGCCTGTTGGATTGAATAGTGTCCAGCCTGATGTTCAGGCCACTATCGATTCCTCCCTCCCCTTTCCCTTTCTCTTTCCCTGCCCTCCCTGACTCAGCGGAGTACAGATTCCAGTAATTCCTGAAGTCACAGGCATCGGGCCACGTCACTGCCCTGGTCCCCTGTACTTTTCTGCTCTGCTTTTTCAGAGTCAGTGGCAGCTGGGCTCTGCTCATCTCTGACTGTGTGTATAGAGGCTTGAGTATTATGTCTGCAGGATATTACGGGTTCTTCTTAGGGTAAGGAAGAGATTCCCACTTGGGCTTATGTACTGCAGACAGGAGTGCTTCTTCCATTGGCGTTTTCTTCCTAAGGCACGAAGTTACTGCGTGGAGCTGTCATGGTGGGAGTGAGAGGGGCAGAGCCTGGCTCCCATGGGTCCAGTGGACTGGCAAAGGGAACCAGCTCTGTGAGTCCTAAGGCAGGACACCTCGTTTGCCTGTCTCTCAGCTGCCAGGAAGCAGAGAGGGCCATGGTCGCGATCCCTCATAGATCCTTTGCTGTTTTTCAGGGCTCCCTCTCTAGGGACCTTGGAATAGATTCAGAGTCACCAGATCCAGCTGTTTCCTGAGCACTCATTGCAGGCCACGTCCTGATCTTTTTGAGGACAGGGTCTTTCTGTTCACGTCCCTGCTTGAAGAGGGCTGTGTCATGCTCGCTGCTCCGGGTGGAACAGTGACAGCTTCTGAAGAAGTGGCTACAGGAGAGGTCTGCTCCTCCAAACTCCTATTGGTCACAGCAATGTGGCTGACGCCTCCTCGGTGGGGGAGGCTCTCCGGGCAGGGCTTGCCACGGCAGCCACTTTACAGGGCGACTTGTCTCTGTGTCATCGGGCTTCAGCCTGAGAGCTGCCATGGGGGAGAGTTGGTGTGACCTGGGGGTCCTGAGGTAGTTGCAAGAGTAGGGGTGAGAAGGGAGGAGCAATTCTAGAACTGCACTACCTCGTCAGTTGAAGAATTAGGCACCCCCTTGTCCCTGGAGCTAGAAACCTTAGATTCAAGTTGGACTCTTTCCACTCTTTCCTCCCACATCCTGATCCTCTCCAGCCTAACATCACAGTGTCCATTGTGTCTGTCCCTTCTTCTCCATTCCCACTGCTCTGCCCTAGTCTGAGCCCTCATCATCTTTCACCTGGACGGCAGCCTCCTCCGTGCTTTTCCATACACTAGTCTCGTTTCTCCAGTCCGGTCATGCTGCTCCTGCCAGAGTTCTCATGCTAAACAAGGCCTCTCTGTTGCTTTCTCTCACCAAACCCTTTGCTACAGGGCAGAGTCGAGGCTCTTCTGCATGGCCTGCCAGGCCCTCCGTGACCAGACCCTGACCTGGCCGTCCACCCAGCCTCTGCCGTGCACACTGCTGTCCAGCACTGCAGATCGCCTTGTCTGTGCGTGATGTCCCTCTGCCTAGAGTACCTTTCCCCACTATCAGAATTCTTGTCAGCCTTTGGCCCAGCTCCTTGACAAAGCCTTCCTTCTTCCCTTCAGTGGAGGTGTGTTACTTCTGAGTACTCCCGGAGCAGGACTCTTTTTCCCTTTTGCCTTCCACTACTGTTGAAGTTGTGCTAGATTCCCTGAGGGCATTGTTGAATGCAAACGGACATGTGTTGAGACAGTGTGACTGCACTGGGTATGTTGGTATTTGGGGGTGTGTGTGCTGCTAGCTATTTTGGTGTCTCGCTATGGTTTTCTAGCTGGGGGTCCTATATTGTTAATTCCTTTCTCTTATTGGGGGGGGATATGAAGTCAAACTCATCAGCGAGCTGGGCTTCCAGATTTTTGTGGTCCACAGAGTGTGGACTAGCCTTTGGGAGGTGTGTCTCAGGGGACTTTTGCAGGCATGGAGGCTGTGAGGCCTGAGTTCGGCCCTCCACTCTCCCTGGTGTCTGGAAAATCACCAGCTAAGTTGGCTTAGGGTCTGGTCTGAGCGAGGTGCTCCCTGACCCAACTCCAACTTTTCGTCTTCTGAGCTGGGTTACTGATTTCCTTTTTGGGTGGGGTCTCTGGGATCTAGGCATTTGAGCCCAGACCAATCATGGCCGGAAGACCCATCCGCATAGGAGACCAGCTGGTTCTGGAGGAAGATTACGATGAGACCTACATTCCCAGTGAGCAAGGTAAGAGGCCTGGGGTGTATTGTAATAGTTCTTTGAGGGCAGGAATTATCTCTCTTTTTGTTCTTCTGGTGCAAAGTATGGTACATGCACAGGGCTGCTCAGGAAAGTTGGGTTAGATCAGGGGTTGGCAGACTACAGCCCATGGGCGTAACCTGGCCCGTTGCCTGCTTTTGTAAATAAAGTTTTATTAGAAAACAACCACACTTAATTGTTTATGTAGAGCCGGGCCCCGTGGCTTAGCGGTTAAGTGCGCGCGCTCCGCTACTGGCGGCCCGGGTTCGGATCCCAGGCATGCACCGATGTACCACTTGTCCGGCCATGCTGAGGCGGCGTCCCACATACAGCAACTAGAAGGATGTGCAACTATGACATACAACTATCTACTGGGGCTTTGGGGAGAAAAAGGGAAAAAAAAGGAGGAAGATTGGCAATAGATGTTAGCTCAGGGCCGGTCTTCCTCAGCAAAAAAAGGAGGATTGGTGTGGTTGTTAGCTCAGGGCTGATCTTCCTCACACACACACAAAAAAATTGTTTATGTATTGTCTGTGGCTGCTTTCATGCCACAAGGGCAGTGTCGAGTAGTTGTGACAGAAACCATATGACCCACAAAACCTAAAATATTTACTGTCTGGCCCATTACAGAAAAGGTTGCTGACCTTGGGTTAGATTGATGATTAATTTTAAATGAAAATATGGTAGAGGATATCATAAAATGCAATGTGTCCTGAGGCCAGAGGAAACCCAACTTGTTAAGGACAAACTAAAGTGGGTTTTTTTTTTTTTAACAATAGTAACATTATTAATAACTATAACAACAACATTTATTGAGTGCTACTATGTGCCGGTCTCTGTACTAAGAACTTTACATGTATTTCCTTTCCAACCCTCACAGTAACTCCGTGAGTTAGATACTATTATTATCCCCGTTTTATAGATGAGGAAACAAAGGCACAGAAAGGTTAAGGAACTTCCCTACAGTCACACAGTTCTACTAAGTGGTGCAGCTAGGATTTATACCCAGGTATTCTAATTCCAGGGCCTGCACTTTGAAGTACTATGCTATTTTCGGGGGTGAAGATTCCTTTGAAATTCTCTTAAGTTTTGGGCCTGGACACACAAATTTTGCTTGCAAATCAGATGGTCTGCAGGCCTGTGAGAGAGGGGGAAGCACTCTTGCACCCCCAGGAGTCCATGGCTCCCACATTAAACCCTGGACTTTGCTTATAGCATAGGATTTTTCTTTTTTTTTTTTTTTTAAGAGTTTTATTTATTTATTTATTTTTTCCCCCCAAAGCCCCAGTAGATAGTTGTATGTCATAGCTGCACATCTTTCTAGTTGCTGTATGTGGGATGTGGCTTCAGCATGGCCGGAGAAGCGGTGCGTCGGTGCGCGCCTGGGATCCGAACCCGGGCCGCCAGCAGCGGAGCGCATGCATTTAACGACTAATCCATGGGGCCGGCCCGCACATGGCCTCTGAATTTTGTATCATAGTTAGAAAAGCCTTCCCTGCTCCAAGGATAAAATACTTCTCTCATTTTTCTTCTGGGTTTATCCCCACACCGTTCATGGAATGACTCATCTTTCCCCCATAGATTGGGTGCTGCCTGTATTTGGGTCTACTCTCTCTTCTCTTCCACTGGGCTGTCTATTTAGATGCCAGTACCATCCTCTTCATCACGGATGCTCGATAATAAATTCTAATATCCAGTAGGGCTGAGATGCCCTCATTGCTTTTCTTTTTTGAAAGTTTTCTTGCTTATCTTGTTTATCTTCCCATGAACTTTAGAATCACCTTGTCCAGTTCTGGGGAGGGCTGTGTGTGGGGGAACTTGTGGTAATTTGGAGAAAATTGTGTTAAATTTATGAATGAACCCAGGGAGGATTGACATCTTTATGAAGTTAAGTCTTCCTCTCCAAAAACATCATATTCCTTTCCATTTGTGTCTTTTCTGTGTTCTTCAGGAGTGAACGTCAAGTTTTCTTCTTATAGGTTTTGCACATTTCTTGCTCAGTTTATTTCTTAAATATTTTATCTTTTTTGTTTGATATTATAAATGAATCTAACATTTTCCTAAGGATGTTTATAAAGACTCTCTGGCTCAGTCCAAGTTTAGACATCATAAGCTCAAGCCTCCTTTTTCTCTTCCTGGACTGTCAGTAGCTTCCTAATGAGCCTCCCTGCTTATAGTCTTGTACGTCTCCAGTCTCTGCTCTGTGTAGCACTAGAGTAAGTGTAAAGCAGATCATATCAGGGCTCTGCTTTTAAGAATCTTCCGTTGTACTCAGCATAAAACCCTTAGTGGGCTTATGCTGAGTACAATGCATGACCCAGCCCTGCCACCTGCCCAGGCTCACCAGTGCCACTCTGTCCCTTGTTCACTCTGCCAGTCACATGGCCTTTCTGACAGTCCCCAGATGGGCCAAGCTGCTTCTTCCCCCAGGCCCTTTGCACCTGCTCTTCTTCTGCCTGAGCACTCTTTTCTCAGGGCTCTGCATGGCTGGCTTGTTTCCTCCTTCAGGTTTCAGTTGTGTCACCATTCTGAGAGGTTTCTTTGACCCATTCTAAAGGAGTGCCCCCTCCATCTTGACGTTCTCTGTCTCATACCTCATTTACTTCATTCATGACATTTATCAGAAGCTTAATTCTTTGTATATTTATCTGTTTACTTCTTTAGTGGCTGTTTCTTCTACGAGAATGTAAACTCAATAAGGATAGAGACCATTTCTCTTAATCAGGGTGCATGGTGACAGGCACATAGGAGGCACTCAAAAATTATTTGTGAAATCAGTGAATAAGTTAGTCCTTGGCTAGCCAAATTCCAGCTGGTCCTTTGAAAAAGTGCTTTTTCTTTCCTAGTCCCCAGGTATGTCAGCCTCCACATTCTCCATGGAGATGACCGTACTGGTGATGCCTTCTGACCTGGGGTATTGTCAACTCAAGCATGACGCCCCTTGGTATTTCTTTGATTATCCTGGGGTTCTGGTGACATATTCCAATGGTCATCTCATTTCTCTTTTTTCCTCTAGGGGAGATAGCTCTTAACTCAGGACGTATATGTCCTCTAGTCCTCCAGATCTCTGGCAAAAGATCTTTTCTAAATGCTTGATTCCAAAAGAGTACAACAAAAGTATTAGAGTCCATAATATATAGCAAAACTGAAAAAGAAACAACTCCCTTGGTGGAAGAGAGGGCTCAGTGAGTGGGGAAGAAGGCTGCCTGCGTATCATCCCACTTTCGCCGCTCAGATGTGCCCTGGCCCTGGGCAGGATAAGTCACTGCTTTCTCTCTGCTCCCATGGCACACGACACCTGTCTCCCTTACAGCACATATCACCTTGTTTTCACTCTGTTCCTGTGCTGGTGAGGTCCCCAAGGGGCTTAGTCATCTGTAGTTCAGGACGTGTTTGTTGATAGAGTGACGAGCACTTTTGCATCAAGATCTTGCAAATCTTGGGAGAGCTTGTGTCCTGCCTGGTAAGACTGCCCACATTCAGGATGGTTCTGGCTGTGGCTGTTGGGTTCTTCCTGAGGCCTCTGCCACACTGAAGTCTTGGTCTTATTTTTTTTGCCTTTGTTATACTTGGCTTCAGATTATATTCTTGGAGTATGGAAATAGTATGCCTTGATTCAGGTATACCATTTATAAATGGTAATTTAAGAAAACAAAATTATGTATGTTTATTATTTATATTTAGAGAAATAATACCTGTTCACTGAAGAAAATTTGGAAGGTAAGGGCAAAGTAGAAAAAAGCTTGTCTAGGAAAAATGTCTGTTTTCCCTTTCCCTCACACTCAATACTTCTGACATGAGATGTGGGTTTTTTCCCCACACTGACTAGTTCTCCGACACCGGCTGGGTGTCCTACAATTCATTTCAGTTCTGACACTGTCTACCTGGAGATAGCATCAGATCCCACAAGTTAAGGGCTCAGTCACACAAGAATGCCCCCACTCCAGACGCCAATTGCAAGTTCCAGGTTGTCCCTGGTACTTCTGACCAACTGGCTGTGTACCAAAGTTCCCATGACCCCCTCCTCGGGTTCAATAATCTGCTAGAACAACTCACAGAACTCAGGGAAACACTTACATTTACCAGTTTATTATATAATGAAGGATATGATAAGGGATATAGATGAATAGCTAGGGAGGTCTGAGCAGGTCCCAAGTGCAGGAGCTTCTGTCCCCATGGCGTTGGGAGTGCACCACCCTCTTAGCATGTGGATGTGTTCGCCAACTCAGAAGCTCTCTAAATCTAGTAGTATAGGGATTTTTATGGCGGCTTCATCATGTAGGCATGACTGATTATTAACTCATTTTCCAGCCCCTCACCCATCTCTGGAGAATCATGGGTGAGGCTGAAAGTTCCAAGCTTTTAATCATGTCTTGGTCTTTGTGGTGACCAGCCCCCGTGTGTGAGCCATCCAGGAGCCTACCTAGAGTCACCTCATGGAACAAAAGATGCTGCCATCACCCAGGAAATTCCAAGAGATTTAAGAGTTCTGTGTCAAGAACCAGGGTGAAAGACCAAATACTACCAGCAACTGGGGGCACAGACCAGTATATATATATCTCTTATCTCACGAGGCTGTGTGATTTTTTTTTTCTTCTTTCCATCCACCTTCTCTCCATCTCTCTTACCTTCCCACCCTCCTGCCTCTCCTCCCAGAAATTCTTGAATTTGCCAGAGAGATTGGGATTGACCCCATCAAGGAACCGGAACTGATGTGGCTGGCGCGGGAGGGCATTGTGGCCCCTCTGCCCGTGGAGTGGAAACCATGGTAAGTCAGCACAGGTGCAGCCCACTGACTTGGCCTGTCAGAGGCGGAGGGAGCCTGACACTGGAGATCAGCTTGAACAGGTGACCTTTGAAAGCCTTTTCTGCATAGAGCTGGGGACAGCAAGGGGCCATTCCTCTGCTGGACCGCCTGATGCTTTGGGCCTAAGCATAGGCTGACTTGATGGTCGCTGTGAGGGGTTCAGCGCTTATATCCAGGGTCCCAGGAGCTGCTGCCCTGGGTCAGATCCTCCAGCACCTGCATCTGTTTGGGACATGCCGAGGAGGGGTTGTTGTGACTCCTTGCAGACTGATATTGAGAGTGACAACATTGAGACCTCCTCAGCATGTCCAAAATGGATGCTGGTGCTGAAGAGGTTTGTAGTGAGGCTACACAAACTGGCAAGGGTTTCCTCTGTCTTGGCAACCCGTCCCAGGATTTGTGTAAAACTTCATGGTCGTGGATTCGTTCACATTGTCATTTTCAGTTGGAGCTCTTTGGATTGCGAGGAGCAGAGACTCACCCAGGTTCTCTCAAGGAAGCGGAGGTTGATGGTGAGGAAACAGGCTGGCTGAGGTGGGGAAGCTGAAAGGAGTCGTGGCCGCTGCTGCATCTCCCTGCTCCTGAGGGCTGCGTCCCCCCACTCTTGGTGACGTGGTTTGCTCTCTTGTGCATGTCTGCTCTGTTCTCCTCCTCACCTGCACAGAGCTCTCTCCAGGTTGTCTCTCTAAAGTGATACCCTAAGTTTACTTCTGCCGTAGCATGGGATTTCCAAACTGGTCCCCAGATGACTTAGGGGACCCCCTCTTATGCTAGTATTGTGCAGTTTTGTGTACAAGGTGTCATTATCCTGTTTTTTATCCATACTAGTTAATGTGTTGGGCCGTACGGCAAAATGACTTCAATTTAGCCTTACTCGTCTCTGCTGAAGAGTCGTGATCCTTTAGCTTCTCCTCACATGGCAGGCTCCCTGTTCTCTTGATCTTTTTAGCTGCCTTTCCTTGGACCTTTTCCAGCTTCATAACATCTTTCTTGTAGTAAATCCGTCAGCACTGCACACAGTATTCCAGGTGCTGAAGACTCGTGGTTGTGTCTATAGGATACGTTTGTAGGATTGTGATTTCTGTTTTGTTTCTAACACCCACCCTGATGGAAGGAAGGAAAGTATCATTGGTGATGGGCCAGCTGTGTGCCAGGCTTTCTGCCAGCTGCTTTTACGTGTCTGCTAGAGAGGTGGCTAACACTCCCTTGTCCTGTAAGGAGAGTGTGAACTATTTCTAAATTATTTTTAAATAAATTAAAAAATATTTAAAAAAATAACATAAGTCATTAAAACTTTATATACATGTCATCTTTTACCCTTACTCCCAATCCCAAGAGTGATTACTGTTAGTTGGGGAATTCCTTCCAGGCCTTTTAAAGCTCCCTGCCTCTGCCCCTCCTCCCTCTGCCCCTCCTCCCTCTCTCCCTCTCCCCCCTCCCCGCGCCTTGCTCTCTCCTCTCTCTCCCTCTCCTCCCTCTCCTCCGTCTCCTCTCTCTCCTCCCTCTCCTCCGTCTCCTCTCTCTCCTCTCTCTCCTCCCTCTCCTCCGTCTCCTCTCTCTCCTCTCTCT